AGAGAGAGAGAGAGAGAGAGGAGAGAGAGAGCGAGAAGAGATAGATATATGTATATGTATAGAAACATGTAATACACACACAACAACACACACACACACACAACACACACACACACACACACACATATATATATATATATATATATATATATATATTATATATATATATATATATATATATATATAACACAAACACCAGCCTGTAAAGTTTTTCAAATGCGCGGAGAACCCTGGAAAAAATCACCAAAAATATTGTCAATATCATCATGTGTATCTTTCTTGTTCCTGTCCTTTGTGTCGTGGACAGGCTTAGGTAAAACTGGTGGAAAGCCGAGAGACCACAAAGTTCTAAAATAACAATCAAACAAACAACCAAAACCGTTCGTCGAAAAAATTGAGCAGAAATAAGCTGCAGATTTTTTTTTTTTTTTTTTTTTTTGCGCGGACGGGAAACAAGGCTGAATTTTTTGCGCGTGGACACGTTCACGCAGACTAAACTTACAGTCAGGTATGTGTGCGTGTGTGTATGTATGTACACAAACACAAGCACACACACACACACATATATATATATATATATATATAATATATTATATATCTGTGTGTGTGTGTGTGTGTGTGTGTATGTGTGTGTGTGTGTGTGTGTGTGTGTGTATGTGTGTGTGTGTGTGTGTGTGTGTGTGTGTGTGTGCGTGCGTGCGTATGTGTGTGTTAATCCATGTACACACAAACACAAATTCACATATATTTATATATTTGTATATATATATGAATATACATGTATCTATACATATATAAATATGTATGTGTGTATGTATGTATGAGTTCGCAGGACTTGCTCGAGGGAAGAGACTCCTGGGCAAACCAGGCTCAGGAGCGGTAGCAGCTGCTCCCTCAGGCGATGTAGACACAGGAGGTCTTCGACAGGAAGGCGCTGCCTTTGTTCAGGGACAGAAGTGTGAAGCGCTACCTTCCGGATGGTGTTAATTGTTGGACTAAATACTGATTCATTAAAAGTCAAATAGAAATTCAAATACTTTTCCCGCTACAGTTAAAATACCTATACTAATGATCTTATATCCGATTCCAAAGTACTTATACGAAAACCTGAAATTATGTAAAAAGAAAGAAAGAAAGAAAGAAAAAATAATTAAATCGTACGCTTATTTCAAACAAGCTAACAATCAACATCATAATTGCATTTTACCATCAACATGACTAGCACGGATGTGCTAGTCATATTCTTGCCTAAATTTAACATTTTTGTTATTCTAAGAAATGAGTATTATTTCATATTCATTACCTTACACAAAAACACACACATACGTGCATACATATGCACACAGACAAACAAAAGCATACAAACACACACTCATAAATATTATTGTGTATGCATTTACACATACAATTCGCACAAAGACTTCCAGTGATGGGCCTTGTAACAGATAAAACAACCGCCTTGGGCTTTAACATTAAAAGTTTAAATTTGCAACTGCAGGGCGTAAATGTGCAATTGCAGGTCTGGTGGCGTGAAGGAGAGCCGGATGAGTTTCCTTACATTTGGCTTCGAGATAACTGCCAATGCCCGGCCTGCTTTCTCGACACAGCGTCCAGCAGAGTGTCCAGAGTGACGGACATTCCCCCTAACGCGCGCCCGAGGGAAGTGTGTGTAAGTCCGTGATAAGATTCCACTATAGCGATTTTTTTATTTTTATTTTTTTTTTTTTTGGCCGTTAACCGTTCGTAAGGTATTCCTATCCTGTACTGCCTGTGAGATTAATTGAATCATATTTGGGAATATGTTTTCTTGATAAAATTATGATGTAAAAGATGAATTGACTATTGATGAGATTAGTTGTCGAACAGGCAGAAAAAAATCAATCTGTGATTTGCGTCCATTGTTTAAGATCTGTGCATTTCTTGTCTTTAAAACACTATCTTCACTCATTTCAGTTTTCTTTATTTTTTTTATACTAGATTACTCAACGACACTCATTTCAGTTTTCTTTATTTTAACTAGATTAACGAGTTACCAATTTGGAGCAGTAGTTTCAAATTCCAGCATCATACTAATAGTAATATCAACAAGTACAACACAAATGCTACTGTACCTAGAATTCCAACAGCAGCTATCACTAATCAACATACACTTCTACAGGTGTCTGAGGACGGCGCTTCTCTCCGCGTGGTGTGGGAAGACGGACACGAAGGGACATACAGTGCGAGTTGGCTTCACGAGCGAGCCTTCAACCCGACGCAGCAAAGCATACACGAAAATTTCTATAAGTAGGTCCTTACACTTTAACTGAATATGAGTCACTGTGCAGTTCTGATTCGGAATGGGAATGATAAAATGATTATTGTAAAAGGAAGGCATTGTGCTATATTTTTCGGCTATGAAGCAGTAAAATGAATCTAAGTAAGTGTTTATTGTATTTGGTAAGGATAAGGAGTCGTTTAAAAACCGTTTTTAAGCGTCCACCTAATGCTCTTAGTATAT